CCCCTGTGGGGATGTGCCAGCTGGGACGGAGGACAACACTTCCCACCTCTCCATGCCAACCAGCTCCAGGGGCAGAGGGAGGCTGGAGGGGACTGATCTTGCTCACAGCACCAAACAAGCAAAGAGCCATCCCTACCCACCCCCTCACACACCCCTTCCCATCATTACAGCCCTTATTAATCAACCTCGTTACTGCTCACAAATGAAAGCCTCAGTGGAGAGAAGTGTCCACACCCCCGCATAAATCACCTGCTCCCATTCACTGTCGTGACAATCCCAGGCTCCCCAGAAGGGCAGGGACAAGGGTCATGAGACAGGGACAGGGACACAGCCCATCACCATCATTCAAGGCTCATTTTCTCAGCAGGTGGACACATACGGGGTCACTTAGCACAGGGACTCCCGCACAGGTTCTCCTGGTGTAGGCATGTACACCCAGTGCATGCCTTGGCAGGACTCCTTTGTGTCCTGGGGTCACCACATCCCCAAGGCCCTCACACCCACTTCCAGCAGAGCTGTCCCCACAGTGCTCTTGGATGCACAGGGCACACGCACACATCACACATGTCCCCCCTGTGTACATGCCAGGACACACTCGTACACCACACACACAGAGCCCATGTCACACATGGTGTGTGGGTACCTGTCAGCACGGAAAGGACTGAGACACCCCTCTGAAATAGCTCACACCATCAGAAAGACACGCTGCTACTGCCCCCAGCATACACACATGTGTTAGGGGACACACACCCCATGGCAGCTCCATAGAGACCTCCTGTGCACCCACACCCGTGTGAGCTGCAGTTCACTCTCACCTCAGCCCCACTGCATGCCCATGAACACACATGCACAAGTACACATGTGCTACAGCTCCCCACGAGTCCATGTTCTCACACCCATATCAGAAACACACAAAGTGGTGGACACAGGACTGCACAGCCACCAACCCACGTCTCACCAATGCCACCCACCCACAGCCCTGACCACCCACCCCCCAGTACTCCCATCAGCTCATGGTCCTGCGTCCCCGGCGCGCTGTGGGGTCCCCAAGCAGTCAGAGGCCTCTCCTTCCTCCAGGCTGTGTCCCTGTCGTGGCATATACTGGACTGTCACCAGCCTGCAGTGACTCCCTCAGGCGCTGCCTGGCAGTGGCTTTGGCACCTGCTTTTCTGGCATGGTGCAGCTGAAGTGTCCCATGCCATCCTGCCAGGCACGGGGCAGCTTCCCAAAGACTGAGGAACGAAGTGAGGGTGGCGCAGTGGGAGTCCAGCACCCTCCAACAGCTTTCCCCCCTCCCCGCCTCAGTTTGCGCAGCCGGGGTGGCAGAGCAGAATGAGTCCCCACACCAGGTGCTGCATGGGCACGGGGATCCCCTGTGGGGCAGTCCTTTGGCACATGGATCCCACACATGCCAGGTGCTGATGGGCCCAGAGGTGCCCTACACAGAGTGACCCCACAGGGGTCTCGCACGTTGGGCACAGGGAGCCCACACTGACTGAGTACTTTATGGGCTTGGTGCTTCCCAGTGCCAGGTGTTTACAGGTACAGGGATCCCCCACAGTGACCACTTTATGGGCACAGGGATTTCATTTGGGGGTGTTTTACAGGCACTGGGCTCCCCTCATGCAGGGCACAGTGTTCCCTTTGTGGGTTCTATAAGGACACAGGGACACCCCCTGCCTCTACGTCTCTCTGTAAGGACACAGGGATCCCAGCAGATCCCTTAGAATGAAAGGCTGTACAGCAGATTCTCCAGTCAGGCACTGCAGGGTTCCTCGGGTGTGGGAAAAGAGGGTCACAGTGAGACGGGGGCAAAAGGAGGGACAAAGGACATGCCCTGCACCCTGGCATGCATATGCAGGGTTTAACCCCCAGCTGCCCGGAGCAGGCAGGGCCAGCGGCAGCCCATACCCGCACTCCCCGCACCCCGGAGCCCCCCAGCTCCGTGTCCCCCGCGGCCCCTAACCCTAACGCCGTGCCCGGCGATGCCCGCTTACCTCCCGGCGGCGGCGGGCGCGGAGGGGCAGGAGGCAGGACACCAAGGACTTCCCCCAGCCAACCAAGGTGGCAAAGCACCAGCTCAGCCGGGTCATGGTGCCCCTGCCAGGGGCTCACCCGGCGGGGGGAGGGTGCAGGGGCCGACCCCTGCCCAGGGCACGCTCGGACGAGTGGCCGAACCCAGCCGTGCGCCGGCCGCAACAAGCTCCGGTGCCCGGGCAGTGCCCCCGAAGTGCCCAGCCCTGGGCACGGGGCCGTGCGACAATGATGTGCTGGGGGGCTGCGGTCCCACCGGGCCCTGTCCCCCCCGCCGGTTCCCCAGCGTCGCCTGCGCGCTGGCAGCCAGGCAGGGAGCACCGTGCCCGCCCCTGTCCTGCAGTGCTTGGGTGGGAGCCAGCTCCGACACGCTCCCCCTCCTCCCCCTCCTCCTTCTCCTCCTCCTCCTCCTCCTTCTCCTCCTCCCGCACACGGGGCTCGGGGCTTGGCACCTCCGGCGCTCACCCGCCTGCCCTCCGGGCACGGCATCCCCTGGGGTGGATGCCAGACCTTAACAGGGTCCCCCACTCCAGCGCCGTTAGTTTTGGGGGTGCAGGAGGTCGCACACCGTGGGTTCGATCGCATCTCAGTCGGCGACCCTCGCCCCGACCCTGCCTCAGTTTCCTTACGGTACCCCCGGCCCACCCCAGCCCTAAATGGCAGTGTTTGCACACGGGCAGGGGGGACTTCCCTCCCCCTCTGCCAGTCCTCCTTGTATCCCACCAAGCCTCTCCTCGGGAGCCTGAGGACACAATCAGGGACTCTCCACACAGTGGAGACCCCCCTTCCAGTGGAGTCTCTCCCCAAAGCCTGACTTGACTTGCTGTGCTGTGGGCACAGAACTGCCATGGGGAACCTCTCCCTGCAGGACAGCTCAAACCGGCCCCGGGCACTCCACCTCACCGTGGTGAGCTTGCACAGGGCAGGGGAACAGAGTAACAGCGTGCAGCCCCCTGGGCACCACACATCCCCCATGCACCCATCGAGGCAGTGCCAAGAGGAGCAGGCAGCAGCACCCCTGGATGCTGCCATGATGCCGTGCTGGTGCTGGGCAAGGACCCAACCCCACGGGGCAGCTGCTGGTGCCAAGCGTGGGCAGCGGCCATGCCAGGCATGGGCACTAATTGCATTTGCCTTGGGAAGCCTCCCAACAAGCAGCAGCATCAGGGTGGGGGTGCAGGAAGTTTGGGTGGGCCCCCACACTTCACAGCTGTCCCCCACAGCTCTGCCTGGCACCCTGGCGGTGGTAGAGGGCTGGGGGGCAGAGGGGGCCAGTGAGCCTCAGGGAGGTGACATCACCGCTGGCTCCATGGTCCCCCACCCCCATTTAATTAGCAGATGGCCCCCGGCTCCCCCCGCCCCCCCACCCCGGCAGGCAGCGCCAGGCCTGTGCGGGGCCATTAGCTTTATTGGCTGTGCTGAACCGGGGCCAGGCCTCGTTAATTGAATTGCACCCACGCCAAGGATGGGTGAGAGTCTTCTCTGCCCCCCCCCCAGCCCCTGGCACCCCCACCCTGGCCCTTGGCTGGGGCAGGGAGAGGGGACCCTGCTGCCAGGCTGCCGCAGTGGCGCGGCGGGCAGGGACACGTCCCCCCTGCAGGTGTTGGGGTCTTGCCCTTGCAGTGCCTGGCACGGGGCACATGGGTGGGTGCAATGAAGGGCACACACCGTGCCCTCTCAGCCTCTACCCATGCCAGCCACACGTGTACAGCTTGCACCCACACACGCAGCCACATAGCTGTGCTCGCACAGCCTGCACACACGTGCAATCACACGCATGCCTGCACACGCATGCACACACACACACACACACACACACACACACACACACACCCACGATGATGCTGATGCTCCACTGCCATCCAGCACCCTGCCCAGCCCCTATCCAGTATGGGGTGCTGTGCCCCGTGCCCACAGTGGCACACACTGCAGGGTGGCACGGGGCAATGGCGTGCTGAGCAGGCTGGGGTCACTGCCTCGGGCTCCCCTGTGCTCCCCAGCTGCACCTACAGGCCAACACCCACCCGGGAGCCAGGAGGGTGCTGGGAGGCCCAGGCTCCCACTCAGCATCACTTCCTACTTTCACTTTGGTGTCGAGCAAGGCCTGGCCGAGGGGACACGGGTGCCCCCGAAGACATCCAGGTGACACAGGTAGGGGCAGCGTGCTCTACAAGGAGGGGCATGGCAGAGGATAGGACACGAGCATCGCTGTGGCCATCCACCAAGATGGTGGTGGGGAGCTGGATGGCAGTGGGTCCCCCTGCCTGGACTGGTGGAATGGGCTGGCATCACCTTTGACATTCCCCCCACAGGGGTTTTTCACCCCCAGTCGAGAAGGAGCCCACAGGACAGGGCTGACACAGTACAGGGGTCCAGGCACAGTGAATGAGGTGCACTGCTGGGTTGGGGGCTCCCTAACAAGAGGGAGCCTTGTCCAGAATGCTCTGGAAAGAGCTTACACACTGGCTCTGGGTATAGCCCCCATGTGGAGGCCAGATGGTTGGGGAGGGTTGAGGTCCTTGCTGGGGGGGCTGCAGCTCCTGCAGGGGCCTCTGTGCCCAAGGGCTGTTGTGCATGGGGGTGGCCTCTGTGCCAGGGTCTGCTGCTGGCTGCTTCTAGCAGAGGATGGGCCCTGGATCCCCTCCACAAAAAACTGCGGCAGGTTCTTCAGAACATTCTGAATTTCCATTCTCATTGGAGACAATCAGGGTCCCCCATGTCTGACACTGTCCTTCCTCTGCACCCCCAAAAGCTGCACAGGGGGACCAGCCTTGCTGACCCTTTCCCCAGAACTGGCAACCCCCAAAACAGGGAGCTGGGTGCTGGGGGCTAAGCTGCAGTGCCTGATGTGATGTGGGCCGGGCAGGCTGTGGCTTCTGCAGCCCCACCGACCTCCCACACTTCCTCCTGCCCAAGGTACAAAAGGAGAAGCAGGCAGGCACAGCGTGGGCACAGGGACATGCCAGAGCACCCGCAGCACTCAGCAACAGCCTTGGGGCAGCCCACAGCTCCTGGACACAGGTAAGGGGCTTCTCTTCCCAGGGCAAACTGAGGTACAGGTAGGGTGGGCAGATGCAAAGATAGCTCATCCGGGGTCTCTCAAGAGCACTGGAATGGGAGTGCAGGCAGCCTGAGTCCTGTGTCCTGTCCCTCACTGTGCCATGGTAGAGGGCACAGGGCACTCGCACGTTTGGGCACACCGGTGCCCCCGCTGCTGTGAGTGCACGTGCACCCTGCTGGGACACCCCCCCACCCCCAACACACGTGTGCTGCCCCACACCAGCCAGATTCCAGCCACAGTGACAAGTCACAGACCTGCCACTTCCACGGGCTATTTCCCTCACCCTGTCCCCAAGCTGCCACCCACCCCAAAATCACTCCGCTGCACTGTGCCCTGTGGCCCCCCACCTCATGGCCACAGCTCACCCAAACCTCATGCCAGCCGTGCAGGCAACATGCTGTGCCAGAGGGCTCTGCCTAGGGAGCTGAGCTTAGGGGGCTGCATATCCAGGGTGCTGTGCCCCCTTGCTCAGCTACCCAGAAGCCCCCACATTGGTCATGATGTGAGTGAGGGAAGCGAGAGCAGAAGCAAAAGCAGCACTTCCCCTGCGCCAAACCCACATCCTGAATCCTGGCGAACAGGGACAGGGATAAGGACAGAGACACAATAGGGATGTGGTGGGCTCAGCCCCAGGAACTCCCCAAAGAATGGGAGCAGAGGCTGAGGACATACAGGGGCAGGGCACGTGGACAACTAAGAGGGTGCAGGATGGGACACCTTTGTCCACCTCAGCTGTTCTGGCCTATGCAGTGGGGGAACATGGGCAGGGTAAGGGGTGCCTGAACCTTCCCTCTCCCACCTTGACAGCAGGCAGCTCTGGAGTAGAGCAGGGGGGGCAGACAATCTCTCTGGCACAGAGAGTTTGGGGGTGCCGGGGGAGTGCCAGCCTAGAACCTCTCATCACTGGCCCTGCCTCTGCAGATCCCTGTGAACAGCCATGGCAGGGGAAGGGGAGCTCAACCGTGTCATCAAGGACCTGCAGAGTAAGTGTGCCAACCAGTCCCCTGCCAGCATGCTCCCTGCATGGCACACCTCACCCTGGCCATGCCAGATCCCTTCTTTCATCCAAGTCATGGGCAGTGGGCTGTGTCACTGCCAGGATGCTCCAGAGAATCTCTGCGAACCCTGCCACTACTGCCAGCTCCCCTCCTCACTGCCAGCCCCTGGGAATCGGCAGTGCCAGGAGGTGGCTGTGCTCCTTGCTCCCCCTGCTCCTCTCCTTCATCCCAAGTTCCTCTTTGTCTTTGAAGAAAAGGAGGCTCGGTGGGGGATCTTATCACTCTGTACAACTATGTGAAATGAGGTTGTAGCCAGGAAGGAGTCCATCTCTTCTCCCCAGTTACAAGGGTTAGAACAAGAGGAAATGGCCTCAAGTTGTTCCAGGAGAGGTTTAGACTGGATATTAGGAAAAATATCTTCATGGAAATGTTTATCAAGCATTGGAACAGTCTACCCAGGGAAGTAGTAGAGTCACTACCCATGGAGGTATTTAAAAGACGCGTGGATGTGGAATTTGACTACATGGTTTAATGGTGGATTTGGAAGTGTTGGGTTAATGACTGAGCTTGATCTTGGGGGTCTTTTCCAACTTAGATTCTATTATTTCATCCACCATGAGAAATCCCCGAGGCCAGCTGTTGTGAGGCAGTTGAGGGAAGAGGGGTAGGATGGGAGAGGGTGCCATGCCAGCCCAGCCCTGCCATCCACAGAGACCGTGGCCGAGCTGAAATGCAGCTACCAGGAGCAGAACCTGCCGGTGACAGACGGGAGCCGGGAGCTGCACAGCCTCTGTGCCCAGCTAGAGTTCCTCCTCCAGGTACTGCTGCTGCTCCAGCTCTGCTGCTCCCTGCCTCATTTCCCCTTAGGCACAGCTGAGAGCAGAAGGGACCATGTGTTAACTATTCAGGGGCTGGAATAACCCCACCCAGCATTGTCTGGCCCTGGGTATCCCCCCCCGCCACCTGGAACAGGTTCTCCCTAGTCCACATGTGTAATTACATGTGCTGCAAAAAGAAACTGAGGTATGAAGCCAGTGAAGAGAGGGACACCTGGACCAACACTGCTGGGGGAGCTAGCTGGATTCCAGCCCCAGAGGGGACAGGCTGGGGGGAAGAGGGGATGCTCCCAAAAAAGAAAGTCCAAGCTTGTACCTCTGCCAGTTTGACCTCAAGGAGAAGAGGAGCTTCTTTGGGCAGCGCAAGGACTATTGGGACTTCTTGTGCCAGGGCCTAGCACGGTGCCGGCAGGAGCATGAAGGCATTCACTTCGTCACCTCCCTGGACAAGGTGGGCATGGGCTGGTGGGATACCCAGGGACTTGTGCACACACACGGGCTTTTGCTTGCTTGTGGGTGCACATGCACCTCTGCACAGGCACACACTCACCTGGGCACCAAGCATTCACCCACTGGTGCTATAAAGAGTTTTGTCCCCTCTGGGATCCCCGCTGCACCCCAAGCCTAGCCCTGGGGACCCTCTTTCCCTGCATGGGCTGGGAGGGAGGTGTGTGGAGGGGCAGACTGGAGTGGCAGGGATTGATAGCCCTCTCCCCTGCAGCTGAAGACCCCTGTGGGAAGGGGCCGAGCCTTTCTGCGGTACTGCCTGGTGCACCGGCAGCTGGCAGAGTCCCTGCAGCTCTGCCTCCTCGACCCTGAGAGCCTCTGGTGAGAGCAGGGGCACAGTGGTGGGATGCTCGTGGTGGTGGGGGACATGGCCAGGGTGGGCAGTGCCCTGCAGCACCCAGTCAGCAGAGGTGCTGCAGGCATGTGTACCTGTCCAGGGCATAGAGGGATGCATGAGCTTGTTTTGTGGTTGCAGCGAGTGGTACTACGCCCGTAGCCCCTTCCTGAGCCCCAAACGGCGAGCAGAGATCCTGGGCAGCCTCTATGAGCTGGACTGTGTCACCTTCCACCTGGCTCTGTACAGGAGTGACCTGGACACCGCCTGGCCCATGTTCTCTGAGTGAGCTTGGGGACACTGGGGCCACCAGGGGCATTGGCAGCACTGGGGATGTCAAGGGCATCAGAGGCACCTGGGGCTTAGCATTGCAGAGAAGCATGTGTGCATTGCCCCACTGCCCTAGACCCCACACAGCACTCCAAATGTGCCAGCTCTCCACCTGTGACTCCAGGAGGGCACAGTCACTGGCACCAGCACACAAACCATGCCTATAATCATGCCACATGCATGTGTACACACACACACAAAGAGCCATCCGCTGCCAGGTGTATCCCTGCTGCAACACCATGACACTGTGACATCTGACACACAGGGACACACGTATGTTCTTGCACACCCTTGCCCCGGGCACACTTGTGGGAGGCATCATGGATGCAGCTGTTCCAGCACACTCACACCTGTTCTGCTGCCCACACGCTCGTGTGCACAGACTGGCACAAGCGTACATGCTTGGGTCAATGGGTGCCACATGTTCTGTGGGTGCTCAGGCTGGCGGCACTGACATCGCTGATCCCCTGCCCTGCTGCCCCAAAAATTCCTAAAGGCTGCTGTGCCCAGCCAGCCTAAATGGAGGGTGGTGATGCCCTCTTCACCTTGGGGGTGACCTAGTAGTCCTGAGCCCTGTGTCCCCTCTAGGCCACTGGTACGGCCCAGCCCGGTGATCAGGAGCAGCCCAGCAAGGACAGCCCTGCAGACAGACGGGATCGGCCCTGTGGCACATGGATGGCCCAGTGGCACTGGCCATCCCACTGTGGCACTCCATGGGGCACCAGCCCATCCCTGCTCACCCACTTTGGCTGCCCTGCAGGCAGGGAGTGTGGAAATGGAAGATATAGAGGAAGATATAGAGGATGGGGAGGTGAAGAAGGGCATGGAAGAGGAGGCTGAAGAGGAAGTGGAGAAGGATGACAGTAAGGATACAAAGGAGGTGAAGGTGGAGCATGTGAAGGTGGAGGATGTGGAAGTGGACATAGAGGAAGATTTGGAAGAGAAGCATGAAGAGTTGGAGGAGGATGAGAAGGAGGTAAAGGATGTGGATGTAGAGGAACTGAAGGATGCACATGGCACTGGCAAAGCAGCCCAGCCTGATGGTGCTGGAGAGCCTGGCATGTCCCCACTGTCCACCGGCACAAGGTGCATGCTGGGGTCCCTGTCGCTGGTGCCCAGGCAGCCGGCTGGGACAGAGGAATCCCTGCAGGCACTGGTGTCCCAGCTGAGGGCCGAGCTGGCTCAGCGCGAGGCGGCGGCACAGGCGCTGGCGGCGGGGCTGGCGCGGGCGGAGCTGCGGCACCGGCGGCAGGAGGAGGGCAGTGCCCGGCGGGCCCAGCTGTGGGCACGGGAGGCGGAGGCACTGCGGGAAACCAACACCTTCCTGCAGCGGGCACTGCGGGCAGCGGTGGCGGCGGGGGACCCTGGGGCGCTGGCACGGGCACAGGAGGAGGCACGGGGCTGGCAAGAAGTGGCAGAGGAGCGGGGTACCCAGCTGGCCAGGGCGCGGGCAGAGGCGGCGGCGCTGACCTCGTGCCTGCAGGAATGCCAGGAAGTGCTGGTGGCGGCAGGACGGACGGACATGGTGAAGGATGCTGGTAGCTCAAATGAGGTGGCCGCCGTGGAGGAGGTGCTGCGGCAGGCACTGGAGCTCGCCCGTGGTCCCCAGGAGCCCCCAGGAGCCCCCCAGGCAGAAGGGGAGCCCAGCACGGTCACCAGCATGGCCATGGTATGGGCAAGTCCAATGGGATCCCGCAGTGGGGTGGGGGTTTGGGTCCAGGATTGAGCCCCCACTCTCCCCCAGCTCTTGGCCAACCTGGCTGCCACAGCACAGGAGGAGACCTGGCAGAGCCGGCAGCAGCTCCAGGCCCAGCAACAGGAGATGGCACGGCTGCAGGAGGAGCTCAGCAGGTTGGGCAGGGACCCCTACTTCCACCACCCATCACCCCGGAGTGGGACCTCCTATCTCCACCTTCCACATCGTTGCCCCTGGGGCCCCCAACGGTGTCCTGCTTGGACACAGCCGAACAGCAGCTGGGGATTGGCAGAGGGAGGGAGGGAGGGAAGGATTTGAGGGGGGAGGACTGGAGGGAGGGGTCAATTTGGGACTGATAGGTGGGTGGAAGGGTAGGTGGGCAGAGAGCTGGAGTGGTTTGGCGTTAGTAGATAGAGGGAGGGAAGGAGGGATCAATTTAGGATGAATGGATAGAGATGGGACGGTGGATGGAGAGACACAGGGATGAGAATTTGGGGTGAGTAGATGGGTGGGTGGGCACAACGCCAGGGGTATGGATGTGGAGAAGAATGGATGAACAGTGGCAAAACAGATGGGTGTCAGATGGCAAAGTGGCTGTGAGGATGGGGAGAGAGCTTGAGGATGGATGGGCAACAGCAAAGGGAGGGAGGGAGGAACCAGCGGCGGGAGGTTCACCCGCATGCATGGAGGGATGGAGACACGGCCAGCTGAGAGACAGGGGGACCGTGTCGCCACTGCCCCGCGGCAGGGCCCGGCAGGATGGCGAGCGCTGGGCATCGGCGCTGCAGCGGGCGCAGCGGGAAGCGCTGGAGCGGGAGGCCACGCGCGGCGCCGAGCAGGCACGGCAGCAGGAGCTCATCCGCGACATGAAGGAGCGGCTGCTGGAGCTGCTGCGGTGAGAGCCGCGGCGTCTCCACGCGAGGGCAAGGGGACCCAAACCCCTTTGCCCAGAGGAGGGCACCAGAGCCCAGGCAAAGCCAGTGCTGACCTCTCCCCTCCCGCAGGGAGAAGGATGCCCTGTGGCAGAAGACGGAGGGCATTGACACCCCGATGCCCAGTCCGGTGCCCCGCGACCCAGGGCTGTGTGCCCGCTGCCACAAGGATTTCCGCCTCCTCTCCCGGCGGTACAACTGCAGGTGGGCTGTGCGGGGAACGGCGGCTGGCACTGGCACAGGGCAGGGACGGCTCAGCTCTCACCTCCTGCTCTCTCAGCAGGCTGTGCCAGGGCAAGGTGTGCCACACGTGCTCCGTGGATATGGGCAAGCACGGCCGCTGCTGCCTGATTTGCTACCAGCAAAGGCACCCGCAGGCCACATGAGTGGGGACAGCAGCCCTGCCACCATGTCTGGGACACCTCCTGCCCTGGCTGCCTCCTCTTGGACTTACTGGGTACCTAGGTGTCCAGGGCCTGCATGCAAGTCCTGCTGCCCAGCATTTTGGGTTTGACATGTGTCTTTCTTGCGGCTGGTCCACAAAGAGAAAAACTACTAATTTCTGCTCCCCTGTGTCTTCTGTGTCGTCCATCAGTCACTGCCAGATTGACACTGAGGTTGGGTGCAGGGTGGGGAATGCTGGTGTGGGGTTGTTCAAGTTCTTCTGGGGGAAACCATCCCCAAAAAGGGTGTCCTAGCTGCAGCCAGGGTGAGCCACTGCCTGCACCACCCCACAGTGGGAAGAGTAGACAGCTCTTGGCCAACAGCTCTGGCTTCCTACCACGCTGCAAGGAACCACTTGGGCAAGAGGTTTCTCAGATGCAAAGGTGATGGGCTCTCCTCGCTCAGCAGCCCCACTGACTGTGCTCTACCCCAAGTCCTCAGGGTTCCCACCTGGGTGCTGGGGACACCCATACCCACCTATGAGCCAGCGCATGGGTGACACCTGCTGATGTCCCCATGGTTTTGGACCCCTAAGAACTTGAATCAAGGTCAATGGAGGAGCAGTATGGGACTCCAGCAGAGAGATGTATAGGTGTGCTGAGGCAGGCGTCCTGAGGCTGGCACACAGGGTGGCAGGAGAGTCCCCAGCATGGTCACAGTCCCTTCTTCAGCGCCTCAACCCCAGTCAAGTGTCAGCCCCAGTTGCCCAAGCCGTGGCGGAAACATCCTGGTTGTGTAAGGGACAGGTTCCCAGCCCTTTGCACAACAATCTCCTGACACCATGGCTGGGGGGGAGTGGGGGTGCCTGGGGTGCTGGCACCCTTCAGGCAGGGGTCACAGGGCTGGCTCAGTGTGAGGGGCTGCTCAGAGATCTTTCAGTGATTTGCTCTGCTGGGGTTGAGATTGGGGTTGGGAAGGGAATGACTTTGTCTCCAGGTGGGATAGACTTCACACAGAGACCATCGAAGTGCCAGGACCTGTCTGGGGAGCTGTAGGAAGCAAAACCTGGGCTTGGGTCCTCTGTGGGGATGCATAGGATGCCAAACCCTGTCCTGGAAGAATGGTTACCCACACTCTGACAGGCTCAGCAGGCACCACTGTTTTGGCACTGTCCCCAGAGATGTGCCCTGGCCCTGTCCTGCCATGTCCCTTCCCGTGGCAAAGAGGAGCCAGACATGGGTGACCAACCCATCAACTCCTTTATTGCTGGATGGTCATCAGGTAAATACACCATCCCCACAGCAGGCTCACAGAATCCACAAGGTCACAGGCTTTGTCCCAGAGAGAGGGCAGGGTGGACACTTGACATCACTCCCCTGGCAATGAGCTCCTACAACCTTGCACCCAAGCCCCCTTCCAGTTGGGGTCCAGCCTCCAGTGGTGGCCCTGCCCATCCCCATGGCATCACCACCCACATTCCAGGGGGCTGGATGAGGATGCTGAAGTGTGTGGGGTGCTGGGACCTGCTGGTGCCCACAAGGGCTGGGTCCCAGAAGAGCTCAGAGGGTGGTGGATGTATTGCCAGAGGTGGAGGCATAGGAGGCACGGCCGTAGCGGGCAACAGCATCCTTGCTGATCAGCCCACGCTGCGCCAGGATCTTGAGGAAGCTGTTGCGAAACTTTTGACCGATGAAGGCGTAGATGATAGGGTTGATGCAGCTGTGGGCAAAGCCCAGGACCTGCGTGACAGAGAGGGCTGTGTCGATGCGGTTCCTCCTCTCACAGGTCTCGGCAATGGCCCGCGTCCTCATGAGGGTGTCGCTCACCAGTGTGATGTTGTAGGGCAGCCAGCAGATGAGGAACACCAGCACCACAGCGAAGATGACCTTCATGGCCCGCTGCTTCTGAGCGTTCTTGGTCTGCAGGAGGGTGTGGATGGTGACGCCATAGCAGAAGAGCATCACCAGGAGGGGCAAGACAAAGCCGAATGTCTGCGGCAGGATCCGCAGCACTACCCGCCACTTGGCCGTCTCCTCGCCACTGATGCGCTCGTAGCACACGGTGCCATTGTTGGGTGAGTGGAAAGCCTCGCGGAAGAGCAGCACGGGCAGGGACAGCAGCGTGGAGAAGACCCAGATGCCCAAGCAGACAAACTTCACCCAGTGCCTCTTCTCAGTGGCAGCCCGTGTGGCATAGACAATGGCCAGGTAGCGGTCCACGCTGATGCAGGCCAGCAGAAGGATGCCGCTGTAGAAGTTGGCTTCCTGCAGCACGGAGATGGCTTTGCACATCACAGTGCCAAAGACCCACTCGTGGGCTCGGTAGGCTGCCCAAAGCGGCAGGGTCAAAGCGAAGAGCAGGTCTGCCACGGCCAGGTTGAGCAGGTAGACATCGGTGACGGAGCGGCTGGTGTGGATGGAGGTCACCACCAGCACCACCAGCCCGTTCCCCACCACACTGAGGATGAAGACGAGGCAGTAGATCACCACCACCAGGTACTTGTTGAGGACAGAGCTTTCAGGCCGGCACGGAGAAGATGAGATAGCAGTGTCAGGCATGGCTGTGCTGTAGTCATAGGTGTAGTTGTAAAGGTAGAAGATGTTGGACAAATCTCCACTGTAGGACAAGGACTCCATTTTGCCTGTGGAGCACAAAATGGCATGAGCGTGGGGTGGCAATACTGTGGACCAGGGGTGACAGTATCTTTGGGTCCTCTGGCTTTTCCATTGTCCCCCAGGTCCCCTCCCAGCCAGTGGGCAGCTGTCCTTCATCACTGCACTGAGATGGAGGACCCAGCATCCACACTGTGCCAGGTAATGGTCAGTACTGCAGGTAGACACTGTTCCTCATACACCCCCTCGTAAAACATCCCCTGCATGCCTCAGTCTCCTGCATTTCACCCCAATCCTGTCCCTTTCCTGACTCCTGTGGAAGAAGAGGTTCCCCCATAGAATGATCATCTCTTCTCAGTTTGGGGGGCGTCCCCATCAATGTAGCATCACATTCCTCCAGGAGACATCTGGCTCCTCCAGAAACCCTGGGCTACCCTGCTTACTGTGGGTCCTTCAGAAGCCTCTCAGCTCTTTGGGCATCTTAGAGCCCCTCAGGCACCTCCAAAGTTCTTCAAGTACCCCTGTATCCCTCCAGCCTCTCCACCCCCTCAAGCATTGCTGCTGTGGTGCCTGGAACGGAGCTGCCCCTCCTGCCACCTCAGCCAGCAGCAAGGCTGTGGTCATGGTGCCTGGGACAGGCAGCACTCAGCAAGGTCTGAGGGTGTTTTTGTGCCCTTCTTCCCCCTCCTGGTCTTGCTCCTGCTGGAGTGGTTTCAAGCCCCAGGCAGAAAGACGCATCGCACTTTGCAGGCAGCTTTGGAAATATTACATCTCTGGTTTTCCTGTTGCTTAGCTGGGCACTGCCATGTCCCCCCATGCCTGGCCTCAATGGGGAAATCACAGGTGGCAGTCGCTTTTCCTGTCTTCTCACACATAGGAGACAGTGAGCTGGCTCTGTTCCTGCCTCCCCAAAGACCACTGGCTTTCAGGCTTCTCCCAGAATGGATCTGGACTCTTGTTTCACTCTGGTTTCACGCATCTGTCCCATTTCTGAGCCCCCAACCCCTCCAGGGCTTGGAGATGCCAGGACTGCTTGGGGTGCTGAGTCCCCCCAGTGCTGGGGGTCCCCAGCTCTGAGCTGGCCCTGTTTGAACCCAAACCATCCCTGGAACCAACCTTCCCCTCTTGCCTGATGTGAATTCCCTGCTGCAGCTGGGCTGGTGCTGCTGCCCAGAAAAATCTCTCCCTGGCTCTGCTGTATCCTCTCTTGCAGTGAGTGATCCAGGGGTGGAAATCCTGGGATGGTGACCCCAGGGTGGTGATGCTGGGATGCTGAGGCATCAGCATCCCGGAGGACCGCAACCAGTGATGCTGCCAGTGCTGATGGGGGAATGTCCTCCCAAGTGGGGCTCCCACAGGCACGGGGCAGAGCCTGATACCAGTGCTTCCCCTCCATCTATTTCTGGCTGCTGCTTTCTGCCTCCCCACTCCAAAATTCTGATGGTTCCTCTGGAAACGGGTATTCCCCCGGTATAGCACACACAGACACCCCACAGCTGGCCCAGATGAGGGGAACAAGCAGCACTCCATTTCCCCTCCTGACCCTGGCAGGGCTGGGGGACAATGGGGTGGTCCTGGGGCTCCCAGTGGGGAGGAAAGAGGGACATGCCATGGGGAAGGCTCCTCCTAGCTCATCGCTGTGCAAGGAAATGGGAGCAGGTTTTTTCCCCATGGCACCCAAGGCTGATGTCCCTGGGGACTGTGGAGGGTTTGCACGCCAGATGAGCCCTCAGCACAGCCTTGGTTGCTCTCACCCACCACCTCCCTCTACCAAGCAACCCACCCCAGTCCCCAGGCTGCTCCACATGTGAAGGGGCTCAGATGGGAGCTGTCAAAGCCCAAGGAAAGCCACAATCTGCAGAGGTGCACCCCATGGACTCACTGGTTGCTGCTGTCGCTGTCCCCTTAAGTGTGGAGTCTTCTCCTGATCCCAAGTTTTTTCTCACTGGGAAGCACACAAGTGCGGGTTTAAATCCAGATGTCACCCCCAAAGGGCTCCGGTGCAAAGTGTGCTGGGATGAGGGGCAGCACCAGACCCAGGGGTCTCGCCAGCCGGAGGCTCCCTCACCTGCGCCCGCTGCCGTGCCACCTCCCAGTGCCCCTTTCCTCCGCCGCCCACTTTATACTGCCCGGGGAGGAAATGTTGCAAAACCTTCTCCCAGAATGAAGCGGAAGTGGCAGCCCAAGGGACCCTTCCATGGTCACCCCAGATGCCTTTCCCAGTCCGAGGGGAGCCCTCTGTCACCCTCCTGTCCCAGGATGTCTGAGGCCACGCTGCACTGGGGGTGCACCCAGGGGTTCATTGTCATCCCTGCGATGATGCACCGCGGGGGTCTCCAGCTGGGGGTCTCCAATTTGTCCCCAGGCCCTCAGTGGATGAGGGCATCCCCTTCAAGGCACCCCTGTGTGCTGCAGTCCGCCCAGGAGAGCAGAAGGTCTCCGAGGCCATGGCCGGTGGTGATGGCAGTGCAGGCCTCTGTGCCTCAGTTTCCCCATGGATAGAGCAGGGGTGGCGTCACCATTTGGGGGATGCACAGGGGACTGCAAGGCTGGCTTGCCCTCTGTTGGGGGTTGCTGTGGGGGATCCCCCAGAGCAGAGTCCCATGTCCCTCCC